GCGGAGACTCTCACCAGACATTCAAGCAGTCGGGCAGGGCGGGAGATGATGATGAAGAGTTTCTTCACCAGCTCTATGATGAAGGTCAGCTCCGAGCTCTCTGATCGCTCATAAGCCTGACAGATAACACAAGATCATTAAATAAAAACAAAAAAAAACAAAGGATTAATATTTGAGTAATTCTTCATTCTTTAAGAGCCACTTTTGACCACTGAAATCTGAAATGACTTCTGTAGACAAATATAAATCTGTTTACAAAATCTGAAGCTCAAAGAAAAGATGTGATCATGGCCGTAGAGTATAGAGGGCCAAATAACTCCAAATTAAATAATGAAATAAATCTAAAAAATATTTAAATCAATCTTTAAATACATAATTAAATACTTAGTAATAACTTAAAATCTTTAAAATCATTATTCAAATACTAAACAAATTAATAAATGTCTATTGTATTTAGCATTAAAAAGCATTATTTTTTCTATCATCACCTTTGGATTGATTTTTCATGTAAGTACAAGCATGTGACATTTACTTTTTTCATTTGCAGGGTTACAGCTGTCAACTCATCATTTTTTTTTTAAATGTTTATTTATTAAAATATTTAATGTTTTATTATTTAATGTTTATTTATTAAAATAAGTATTAAAATATTTAATTAATTTACATAAATAATTACAAAAATTGGCCCTCCGTAGTATTGAAACTTCAAGTGAATTTTGCTATGTCTGATGACGTGGAATTAAAAAAATGTATATATTTTTAAATGTATATATATGTATATAATAAGGTTGAGGGTGTGTTTATGCAAGGTAATCTTAAAGCTGCCTGGAAAGGAATTAAGAGTATGGCTGAAGTAAGTACATGGGTATCAAATCAACAAATGCCAATGGAGAATTATGATGCTAATTTTCTTCTATCTAAGAAGTATAATGAATTTTTTTCTCGTTTTGATACATCTGCTATAGGTGATGAGATGGCACTTTTTATAGATAATATTAGCAAGATGGCACTTTTTAAAGATAATACTAGTTCTTCTAATAATTTTAAATTGAATCAATTTGATCTATTGAAACAGTTGAAGGCTACAATGCTTAATAAGGAAAACAATTTCTGGTATTTTAACAAACACACACACACAACAAAAAAAAAAGTAATCAGAGATGCAATAAAAAATCTATCACAAATTATCCTTTAACTGGATATTAACTAGGTAATTTCTTTAAACAAACAAACATTGAGCTAATGAAATATTATGTAACTAATAAAACAATTTAATAATCCAGTCAAGTAAAGTGAGATATGAATTCATATTAGCTGAAACACACATACTCATATCCAGCCCACACATATGCTCACTTCATGCAGCAGTTTCTCCAGGTTTTCCTGCAGCTCGTAGAAGTAGACGGTGGTGATGAGGCCTTCTCGAGATTTGGTCAGGCAGTTTCGGGACAGCTCTGCGATCTGGTGGTGGATGAAGCTGAGGACCCCGTCAGCCAGCGGCAGCACGTTCTCAGGTGAGTACGACTCGATGAACTCAGCCAAGCGCTCCTCCATCTGAGCCGTGGCCTGAAGGTAACAGATAGACAGCGTTTAAATAACGTCTTCATTAACAGGGGATACATATGAGCTTAGTTAGAGAGACAAACTAGAGTTCAAAATTAACACTCGTCAATATTTCCAGAAAATAATGCAACAATGCAATCACAATGATACTATATCGGATGCAATCTAATTTTAGTCTGAAGTGTTTGTTTGTGTTTCACTAACCTTAGGGAACCGCTCCTTATAAACATGGTTCATCATAACAATCTCATTATCGTAACAGGAAGGTGATCGCCCTGGACTGCAGATAGAAACAGAGAGGGGACGATAAAAGTGACATTTTGCATAAATTGGTTGAGATGTGCTTTGTGTGTGACTGTGCACCTCAGACTCCGCGAGCGCGGCCGCACATGCGGTGATCTCCGGCCGTCGTCGTCAGTGATGCTCTCAGTGCTGCCAAAGTGTTTGGACAGGAAGTGCAGCTCGTCCAGTGTGGGCTGGAACGGCAACTGATGCAGCCGCTCCTGAGACGAGCTGGAAGACTAAAGAAACAACACAACCCAGTGTGAAATCACATTATAAAGGATACACATGGGACCAAAAAATGTCTCACAATGTTACCATTCGGTTTGAAAATAACAATATTTGCACAAATAAATCAGGGAATGCCATTGACAGATTGATTTAAGACACGAAAAACCTGCCTATCTTGGTACATCGTACTCATTTATATTTCTGTTTAAGTTAGAAATTTGAATAAGTATATTTTAAAGAAATATTGCTACTATTGTAAATTACACTACAAACATACACCTTTGTTTACGTTTGTCTGTTGCTTGGCAACCACTTTGTTGCAACCACAATTGATTCTGAGGAACTACACTGTTTAGTGGAAGAATACTGTTTTTATTAATATCATTACACTTTATTTGCTCTGTTTTATTTTGTGAAACCTTACTACGTATATGGAATAACCGTTTTATAAAAGCAATAAGCCCCGTGAAGCCGTGGTTTACAGTGAATTTATAACAGCTAAGGGGGTTTTAGGCAACGCCCCTTAGCTGTTATAAATTATATTATAATTATAATTTATGTTATAAATGTCCGCTGCTTTTGACACAGTTAACCACCAGATCCTCCTGTCAACCCTATTGGCAAAGGGCATCTCAGGAACCGCACTCCAGTGGTTTGAGTCTTACCTCTCAGATAGGTCCTTCAAAGTCAAGACAGAACTGCTTGTGGTTCCATCAAACCCATCGTTTCATCCCAATTTCACCATCCAGTTAGGCACATCAACCATACCTCCTTCAAAAACAGCCAGAAACCTTGGAGTTATGATTGATGATCAGCTGACTTTCTCAGACCACATTGCTAAAACTGTGACTAAATGTAAATGTAATGTAAATTCACTGTAAACCATGGCTTCTTGGGGCTTATTGCTTTACTCGACTCAACTCAGTATTGCATGTCCACATATGTCTTTATCTGGTGATCCATATTATTTATTTATCCACTGATCCATATTTCCAGTGATTGCACTGCTGGACACATTTTCAGGGGTCTTTTGTGTTTGATACCACAACAAACTGACACCAAAAACCTGCCTATCTTGGTACATCGTACTCATTTATATTTCTGTTTAAGTTAGAAATTTGAATAAGTATATCTTAAAGAAATATTGCTACTATGTCTACTAAAAATATATACTTTTATTAAGGATTCACAGCTGTGTTTTTATATTTATGAAAACATGTAGAAAATCAGATAATAACAAATCAGGCTTTATCCTGAAGGATGTCAATCAATCAATCAATCTGACAGTGTGGATTAGTGCTATTTTAGTATAATTGGTAAAAACTATTCTAGTTTTTGTTAATATTTTGAATGAGACTTTATTTTCATTTTCATGTTAGTTAGTTTTAGTAATTTTGTTGTATTTTTTCTTTTTTTTTATTAGGTTTTTATAAATACGTCTATATAGTTATAGAATTTTCTTCATTTAGTTTTACTTCTTGTAGTACTTTAGGAGTAATTAGGACTAATTAGGAAAATTAGAAATGTTGCCTTGGTGAATAGCTGAAATAAAATAAGTGTAATTGTTTATATTTATGATTTGTATATTTCTTATATATAAATAATAAATTAAATTAATTATATATATATATATATATATAT